CATGAACCCCCATGGCCTATGTATCACTAGAGAGCCACGTGTGTAGCTCTTATATACATTCTAGAGGGTTTCAAAGCCCCTAGCCACATATAAGGTCGATTGGGCAGTCTCTAGAAAGGGGCTAGTTCCAAGCACTCTAGGGTGCACTGGTTCTAAAAGGCTTCGGGTTTCTTTGTTGGGCGTTATAGTACTTCTGCCCTTTTTTTTTCTAGAGAGTGGCCTGGGTGAGGCTTATCTAGAGCCTTCTCATGCCCAATGCCCACACCATTCTTCTAGGGCTTTCTAGAAGCTTCTCTCGCAAGGACTTTAAGCTCATCAACAACTCTAGTAAGGACTTGTTCTTGTGGCCTCGTGCTTGGGCGAGGGTTTGGTCTCTTTACACTGGTGCTTCAAGCCTTGGCCTTGATAATGTTCACGCGGGATGTGACACTATCTCATTAGAATGAAATAAAATGTCTTAAAATGAAATTTTCCAAAAAATAAAAAAATTATATATGTTGAAATTTTTTATAAAATTTCAAAATAAAAACAGAAAAAATCAAATATCAAAATAAAAAACAAACGTTCAAATATTTAAAAAATTTCAAAAAAAATATTAATATGATTTTTTAAAAATTGGAAATTAAAACTTTTAAAAATTTGAAAAAATAAAATTTTCAAAACTTTTTTAAAAAATTAAAATTTTATTTAAAAATAAACTAAAAATTAAAATTTTGAATTTGATTTCTAGCCCAAAGAGTTCTTGGTCATGGAGTTCGTGATATTTCTACAATCAGATTCAAGGCTGTCAGATTTCTATCAATACAAAAAACATATAAATTTGACCAAATGGAAAAGAAAGGAAACAGCATGTTAGCAGCCTTTTATTTTAGCAGGTTGCCGCAACTCCCGTAAGCACCATTGCATAAAACACTGAGGATTAGCAATGCAACTATGTTTGAAAATATCAAAGACCTGACTAACACTTTATGGCCCCCAAGGAAACACAAGTTTAAGCTCAGATTTTTAAACCCTAAAACAAAGCTTTAAGTAGAACCCTAAACCCTAGATAAAACCCAAGACCCTAAAATACAATCTTGAAACTCTGAGCCTTAGTTAAAACTCTAAATAAAACCTTGAAATCTTCATCCACTTAAAACCCTGAGACCATCCCAAAATTCAAGGTTTTATATGAAATCATTTTGTGAAATAATTTATTTTTAAATACTACCTAAATGATAAGATATTTAAGAAATTTTATTTCATTAAAAATTTTCATATAATTTTATTTTTTAAAAAATATTAAATAAAGAATAATAAATAATAAATTAAGATTTTAAATATAAATAATCGTATCCAAATTTTAGCTAAATGTTAGAGAGTTCAGGTGGCCTATTTATATTTTAAAATCCAATTTCTAAAGTTCGCATTTTATTGTCACTTGCGTATATCTCATTTTTAGATTAATGTTTACATTTATCATGCATATATGTATGTTTATTTTAATTATTGATAATTAATATTAATTATATCATTTTTTTCATTTTTTACTACATGAAAAGTTCTCTAAAAAATTAGTTTAAAAATGAATAAATAAATAAAATTAAAATAATATTTTAAGAAATATAATTTTTTATACTCTATCTAGATATAGGAGAGTTGCCAATAATTATTATTGTCATAGAATATTATTTTATTTTTAAGAAAATATTGTGATAAATCTTAGACGAAAAAGATTATCTTCAAATTCTATCTTTATGTTGGAAATTTTTTAATTATTTCATTTAATTTATAGATTTTTCAACATTTCTAAATAAATTTTTTTATTTTATTTCTTAAAAAGAAAGAGAATTATTATTAAATCTTAAAATGAAATCATTTTTATCCAAAAGCCAATGATAATGCATGATTAATTGATACCAATTTTATGGGCATTGTGGGGTGCTAATCTTTCTCGACGTATAACCAACTCCCAATCCAATCTTATTTCGTAAATTAAAATTAGTTTTTTAATAAACTTTAAACTTGTTTTATTATTTTATTAAAAAGATAAATTTTTTTATGGCCAATCACACTTTAAAAATGATTGATGGTTACTTTTATATCTGTATGATTTTAAATTTTTACATCTAACAATCAAGTCTTCGGACTAATAAATTATAACAATAATCTAAACAAAGTTTTTCTCTCATTAAGGTGGCTCTCATAATCATGCTCCTCTAGGTTTTTTTTAATGGCTAAATACTTATTTAACCTTTTTATTATGTCATTTTTTATTGGTTTGATACTTAAAAAAAAAATTAAAAAATTCACAATTCAATACCTAAATTTGCATTACTTCAAGGGTTAACTTTGTTATGACGTGGTTTATTTAACTAATGATAAATATTAGTTGTCGCCTTGTCATTGTTATATCATTAGTGGATCTGTTATTGTCACGAGCTTTACTCTTAAGCCTAGCAATCGTGTGGCCTTCAATAGGAAAATGTCGTTTAAGTATGCGTAAGTTAGCCTCTAACAAAGTTGAGTAGGTATACACACTAAGAAGGCACTTGGCGAAAGAATACAAGATCCTTTATTGATGAAAAACTGTTGCTTTATACAATTGTGGCTTGAGTAGCTTAATGGCTTACAAGATCACTAACTCTTATATGTGTTCCTAAAGAGAGGGGGCACCCCTATTTATACATGAACCCCCATGGCCTATGTATCACTAGAGAGCCAAGTGTGTAGCTCTTATATACATTTTAGAGGGTTTCAAAGCCCTTAGCCATATATAAGGTCGATTGGGCAGTGTCTAGAAGGGGGCTAGTTCCAAGCACTCTGCGGTGCACTGGTTCTAAAAGGCTCCAGGCTTCTTTGCTAGGCGTTACAAGTATTTTTGCCCTTTTTTTTTTCCAAATAGTGGCCTGGGTGAGGCTTATCTAAAGCCTTCTCATGCCCAATGCCCGCACCATTCTTCTAGGGCTTTCTAGAAGCTTTTCCCACAAGGTCTTTAAGCTCATCAGGCAACTCTAGTAAGGACTTATTCTTGTGGCCTGCTGCTTAGGCGAGAGTTTGGTCTCTTTGCACTAGTGCTCAAGCCTTGGCCTTGATAATGTTCACACGGGATGTGACACTATCACATTAGAATGAAATAAAAATATCTTAAAATGAAATTTTCCAAAAAATAAAAAAAATTATATATGTTGAAATGTTTATAAAATTTCAAAAATAAAACAGAAAAATCAAAGATCAAAATAAAAAAACAAACATTCAAATGTTTAAAAAAATTTCAAAAAAAATATTAATATGATTTTTTAAAATTGGAAATTAAAACTTTTAAAAATCTGAAAAAAAATTTGAAAAAAATAAAAATTTCAAAACTTTTTTAAAAAAATTAAAATTTATTTAAAAATAAACTAAAATTAAAAATTTTGAATTTGATTTCTAGACCAAAGAGTTCTTGGTCCATGGAGTTCGTGATATTTCTACAATCAGATTCAAGGCTGTCAGATTTCTATCATCAAAAAATATAAAAATTTGACCAAAATGGAAAAGAAAGGAAACGGCATGTTATGCAGCCTTTTATTTTAGCAGGTTGCCCGCAACTCCCGCAAGCACCATTGCATGAAACACTGGGGATTAGCGATGCAACTATGTTTGAAAATATCGAAGACCTGACTAACACTTTATGGCCCCCCAAGGAAACACAAGTTTCTGGTTCATCGCTTTTGTTCCTCCATAATGAAATTCCCTTCTTTAGTCAACCTCCTATTTTACCTTCATTTCATCCCAACCCTAATTTGTACTTAAAAACTATTTATTTACATTTTAACATTTGATTTAATGATTTATCGTGTTTCTTCGATTAAAAAACTATATTGGAATCCCCTTAATTTCCCCATTTACAAAAAAAAAAAAAAAAAGCCTCCCATTTGTTTGATTTTAAATGAAAATAACTATAAATCTCTTGAAAAATTATTTTGAAAAGCAAAACAGTACAAACTTTCACAGATCAAGTATCTGGATTAGATCAAACGATTAGGAGGATGATTTTGGAGAGTTTTTAATTATATATTTTTAGATTAAAATTATTTTTATTTATATAATAAAAATCTTGAGTTGGGACGTGCCTTAAAAAAATTCTATCAAAGATCCAAGTGATGAACAATAGACTCAGGCCTCAGGACCGATATTTTGTCGCTGGATTTGCTACCATAGCATGTAAATAAAACTAAAAACTAGTAATTGGCTGGGGCTTTGTCACAAGAACATAAATATTTTTTTATACAACGGAGATTGCATCGTGAAAGAATTATAAATATTCCGATTTAAATTTTAAATTTATTGAAATGTAATTTTAAAGAGATTACCATGAATAAAATGAAATTTTAAAAGAATCATATTTTTGAAAAAATGCCCCAACTATCAACATTTCACCATGCACTATATTTAATTAGTTTGGCTTTCATTTCCCTTTCGCCAAATCATTTGATTTGTATCCAAGAATTTATACGTGCAAAGCATTCCAATTTCAAGTGTATGTGTTCAGATTTTCAAATACAGAATTGAAGAAAAAATGGACTTTGGTACCGGAAATTGTAGATTTTTGTAAATATGAAAGAAGAGTTTTATTCATTGATTCATAGTTACTTTACATACAACAAAATCTTCAATTACAATGAAAGAATTTGTATCTTGAAATAAATGTATAAGAATTCAATGTCATAGATTTAATATGGTAATAAAAAAACATAAAGGAACATTTTGACATTACAAAGATGGATCCTTTTAACCCTCTACATTAAGTATCAAACAAACATTCTAGCGTCTTGGAATTGAACGCCTTATGGACACTGTAAAGATTGCTCCAAAGAGTACAGCGAAACCAAGAATTACAGCTGCAACTACTCCAGAAAATCATGTTTGAAGTCATAATAATTTCTCAAAGAATTGTTCAACTGTCTCTTCGCTGTCGCCATCCAGAAGGGGGTTTGTATGTCTCCGAATTGTGAAACACCATCCATAAAAGGTCCAAGCTACTGGACAAATCCAATAGTAACCATCTCCAACCATATAGGAATACTCTGCAATTCAACAAGTTGGAAAGCGAGAAGAATGTCAGTCCTCAGGAAGTGTATGCTAAAGATATATATCAAGAACTTGAAAAGAAAAAGTTATGTGAAAGCAGTGCTTACAGGTCGTGGGATGATGAATCCTGAAAAGGCATTCCATAATGCATAGAATGCTGAGGAAACTATGGATGCAATGTGGTAGTTTGGTGTGACAGCCACAGCCATCATGCCATAGAAGGTGAAGTAGAGTAAGGAGAAGAACATAAAGAAGAGATACCAGAAGAACTTAGCAGCAGTCCATTCAAACCCGATCATCGCATATACTATAATGCTATACACAGTAGATTGAATAAAAACGTAAGGTATCTCGATCACAACCTGCAGTTGCAAAAGTGGAAATCAACTATAATGTACTAAAATTTTGTACAACTTTCTCTACATTTTGGACTCTTCAATATGTGGAAGAAAAAAAAAAGAAAAAACTTGCCTGGGCAATGGCATATGGCATGGCAGAATACATGCCAGCAGCTTTTTCTCTATAAAAGACTGTCCTTTCAACCGCCACAACAGGCTGCACAGATGAGGCGTTTTGGAAGCCAAGGAAAAGAAGCAGCATACATTGAACCCATTGCATTGATCAGATCTTGCCTCCTGTTCCTGTAATTTCACAATGTGACAATTAGATATATGAAGCTGATAAATACCAACATTGAAGCTTGAACCATTGTACTTGAGTTGTAGCTTACGTTTTAGAGCCAAGGTCCCAGAACAGTGTCCCAAACATCAATGCTATAACGGTTGTAAAAAGAAATCTGACGGCAGTATATGGTGGGTTGCGCCAATATGACCAGTGCTGCTTCCATAAGCAAGCTGTACACTGAGTCAAGAATGACTGAGAGTACTGAGTTGGAAAATAGAGTTCCCTTGAACCAGGAGCAGGTTTGCTTAAATCTTCAATAAGAGCTTTATTTCTCCTGAACAAATGAAACATATATAGCAAATTCAAGGTATCTAAGATAGCTAGGCCATGTATAGATCTTATGATGAATTAAAGTGATTAGTTTGA